CGATGCACAAGATTACCAAGAAATGACCCAGCATAAACGGCTGTCCGGGCTCTTTCTGGATGTATGCGATGGGACTGACCAATTCTAACTCTTACCAGAAATGGCCTTTCAAAAATGTCATACGACCTCAGGTCGCTCTCTTCTGTTGCAAGTTTATACATGAAGATAAAATCAACTATCTTTCTTCAGAACGTCAAGATGTGTGCTTGCAAGGCTTGTAAAGGCTCTTCATATGACATTTTCAACAGACCCTTTCGAACATAGCATCGGTCTTCGGTTGGCAGCATCGGTTGGCCCCAATCACGCAACAAAAATTCCAGAAGTAACTCAGCGCAGATATCCACAGCCGACTTCCGTTTTAGTCAACAATTCAAGACCAGGTCTCAATGTTTTCGAGCCTTTTTTTGCGATGGAAGACCACTACTCAGCCACAAAAATCATTTGACCCCTGGCAAGGAATATTTTTGAGTCGATTAAGAAATGCTAAAATCTGACTACTTTAGGGTTACGGTACTACCAATAGGATCCGTGAAAATATGTATATTTTTTAAAATTCTGAGGCTATAGTAGCAGAAGCGTACGTGTCATAGCAACCGTCAGTGCATTGACGAACTCAATGGACTGGAATAGCCAATGGAGTGATTTGTGGTAGAACTCGAGGGAGCTTTATGAAAGGTCTCAAGAAGCTGTGAGCATCGTGGGCGTTTCTGGGGCGCTACACTTGAAAATTCTAGTGATGAAACGGTTTCTTCAACTTGAGATGTGGTATACAGAAGCACTATTACTTTAGGTAGCTTATCTAGTGCGAGATAATATCCTTCTAGTTCTGTTCGCACGATTCAGACATCTTCAAGCAGAAGGTATGAGCGAGGATGGGAAAAGGCTCAAAGCTTCTAGCAAGACTCAATGAAATGCTCTAGGCTATCTCCAGAACGTGCTGGCAATGGCCGCGATCGCCATGGGAAGCGGTCGGAGCCATGTAACCTGACAATCGATGCAGATCTTTTCCATTATCGTTATCACTTCCGTCGCTGGGTCATTTCGACATTTCGACCTCATAAGAGACGGCCCACTTTGGGGATACCCACATGCAAATTCATCCATTATACAATTCTGAGAAGAGGCTTTCAAATTAGAAAAAACTCGTGATTGTCTTGCTAAACCCTCATTTGTGCCTTTCAAAAGTTGCTTTTACTATCGTATTGTCGAACTGATGAGAATAAAAATTTTATGCAAACCACAATATAAAAATAAGTCCTATATAAAAGCTTGAATTGTAAAAAAAAATAAAGATAAAAGAGAAGACAATCTTTTTGTCAATTTTCGGCACCGCTCGTAATGCGAAACTAGGACAACGTTTAAAGATGGACGATGAGAACATGGAATGCTAGGCAGGATCGCAACGACAGCGTATGATCGTTAGGCAGCGGTGGTTGCAACTGTTGTTCCTGAACGCAGCTGCAGTTCTTCGAAAAAAGACAAAGTGCAGGCACAAATTGCATTTGAACCGAGGCGTTTTGTCATTTTGCCTGGAACATATCCAATGCTGATCAGCACAAATTCTGGTGCTCCATATATGATGAGGCACGGAAGAAGAAAATTGAGCAAAACTGTGGTGGTACCCTGTTGATTGGTGTCCTCGTTATGGTTGGAAGTGCATTGTAGGGTTGCGTCCAACGTTTTCTGAGCTCATGGGATGCTTCGGGCACACAGCATGGTATCCCGGGGTCAGAACAAGCTGGTACATTGAACAGTCCATTTCGAACTTGCACACCGCCGCTAGCCCTGAAGTGATGGTGCAGTGCTATGTAACGCGTCTTTTTTCCTCTTTGCGCTGCTTCAAGGACAGTAAGGCTTGTTTCTGGAATTTCCAAAATGGGTTCCAGAGATGAGCGAAGTAGGTATTGTGTAACCCATTGACGACCGCGCCTTTTTCGTACGTTTCCACATCTCCTCAAGTTTCAGCTCCTTTCTCTGCTCGAACATTTTTATAAAAATTCCGTTATAGATTTTTATAATCGCGATGACTTATAGGTATTATTACATCACTATCTAAGTAAAGTGCTGAAACCGTTAAGACTTAATGACAGCTCAAACTGAACCATGCGGAAAGAGGCGCGGCTCACCGGTGAGCCGCGCGGTCGTCAATGGGGTAAGGAAGTCCGGAAGTCAGAAAAAAGGAGAAGGCTCCATGCAATATCGAGAATTTGGAGAGATAAAAACAACATGTATGATTTGACATAACTTAAATACTGTGAATTATATTTACTTAGGACCGAATAATGTGCTATAAGACAGCTATCGATTTATTTGAAATTTGAAAATTCGATTACGAGTAAGTTTAAAGTTCGGATGGTTCAGAAGGGGGAAGCAATGCAATTATCCAAGAATGATAATATGATAAGCAGACGTTTAGGTCTTTCCCTTTTCTTTAAACTTTTAACTTCCTCGGATCTAGTCCAGCATGAATAACTACGTAAATGAATTGAGTTGTTCGATTATCATTCGGTCCTAACTATACTGTGAATTCTTCAGAAGTGTAGAGGTTAGAAGCAACGCCAAAATTCAAATTCCGAAACAGGACTTCAGAAATGCTGCTCATTCCTGATGAGATCAAGAACGATTAGGCAAATCTTTATCTTTATCACGTGTACTCAGTGATACTTACAACAACGGCGGAGTAAGAGGAGAATACCTTGCAACTGCGGCGTGCACTCTATTTTGTTAAAAATCTTGAGGAAAATCAACTCTTTCCCCTTGAAAATGTAAAAGTTGTGTGGAAGATGGACAACATGGGGAAAATGTGCAGCTCATGGATCAGAAATTTACGTAATTTAGAAAGGGACACAACTGAGCGTGCTCAGACGCTCAGAGTAACCGCCGCCACAAGTACCTAACCCGAACCTTAAAGAGAAAAATAATGGAGGCCGTAGAAATACGGAGACATAACCATGAAATCAACAACAGAAAGGAGCTGCGAGAGGTATGTACTTCGGTTGATCTCATGATTAGAAATATATGTGATCCTTCTCTCTTGCAATTCCGAGGTTGTCTCATCGTATCCTTGTCATCGTAGGGGTGAGGTTGTCGAATGCTTCGTACTTGGTTTTGTTCACATGAGAGCTAAGCTGTCGAAATATTGGTAACAATCAGTATCGTGCCTCGAAGTTGAAACAGCTTGCTGAATATCTGGCAAGTCTTACTGTTATTGTTTTATATGTCTGTAAGCTCAAGATGAGTGTGCGATTTATTGTTAACTTATTTAAAAGGAACTTAAAGAAACTGAAAAGTCTTCTAAACCACAGTCTAATTGAAAATTTTGTCTTTTATTTGCCCGTGTCTCACTTATTACCGCAACTGTACGAAGGACATGTTCACACATTTGAGCCTGCTCATGTCCCGAAAATTACTGCAGCTGTACCGCTGGTAGTTCTCTCCCCAGCTACTTGCTTCCCATGCCTTTCGTCAGTTTTTCCAGCGAAACTTTCAAAAGTCCAGAAGAAGCAGCAAAGCACGTGCGTCAAGCGATTCCGGGTCAACGATGCGAACAAGCCACATTTTTCCGATGTAAAGCGATAGGCAACGAGAAAACCAGCAATGTGTTTGCTGCGGTCGCTTCCTCGTCGATTCGAAGTCTTAAAGGCATTCGCCACATCTACCTTAGAATACTGAGTGGGGTACGGCTCATTTTCTTGACGTGAATGGGATAATTGGGGAGATTGCGGCACCCTAGCCTCCAACCGAAGCCAGACCGCGGAGTCAAAACCATTTCCGGCTGTTTGCAGGGTAATATTAGGGTTGTGAAGTGTTTTCCATTTTCCGTTTTGATCATAGCTATTTGAATGCTATGTCGGCATGCTTGATACTATGTGAAAAAGCAATCTAATCAATGTTCATCCGCAAATATGTATATTAAGTGTCCAGCCACCTTCAGGTTTTGACTTTTAGCGGAATTTTGAGCGCGGCTATCCGAAATTATATATGAAACATATCAACCTTTACGACTGTTTTTTTTTTCAAAAATTTCGGCGACGCGCGTGGCGCCAAATTTAACGGCTGAGAAGATGGCGCCATGAACGAGTCGACGAAGAAAGGAGCTCGGAAACAATAGAACACCTCCAAATTCGGCGGATGGCCTAGGGTATTTCTTCCAGGATATTATCGACTCGAATATTGATTTACTGACCGATTTTATCAACTCTTCTCATTTCAGCTCCAGTCTAGATCGAATTGTGCCTAGTGAGCCGATCTACCACGTTGATCACGAGTCTGACGATTATTTCACACGGCGGTTATTAATTTACTGAATTTATTGGTTTTTTGGACTCCGATTTTGAATGAGAAGAAAGAAGTGCAAGAAAATCCCGAGAAACCTAACCGCACCTCTGGGTTAAAAGAACGGATCAGAACTCCTGAATCGCAGGGATTTGCATCGAAGTCTACTTTAAAAAATAGTATTCACTCCCATCTATCAAGAAGCGCAGAATTCCCTACCATCTCAACAAGTAAAATAGGGGAAGATTGCATTCAAATCAGTGATATGAACTTAATATATGGAATCGAATATATGGCATCACATAGGCATAGCGTAAAAAGGGAAGCTGAATGCCAGAACTTCATCATCCCTCGAGTATGGTGAGATATCGCAATCCTCAAATACATATTTGCAGAACTGTTCGATTCTATTCAAATCTGAAGAACACGTATGAACACACCAGTATATGAAAGCAAGTTCCTCTCCTGCAGAAAAATATTTGCCATATTAAGGAAAATTAGGGAAATTTAAAGTGGATGAAAAAAAAATGGCGAAAGAATTGGACGAAAATTCAGTGGAACAAGTACGTGCGTGATTGTTAGGAAGGTTGTTCAACGGTATTATGGTTCTCTTCATCCATTAATCGTTAATCTTTCACTACAATTAAAAATAATCCATTTTTGTGGGAGCCATGAAAACCAGAAAGATCAATTTTTTCAGATCTGTCCACACGGGTCCAAAGACTGTATCAATAGCTCAGGTGGTAGAGCATTAGCCTGTGAATTTCATGCTCGCGAGTTCGATCCCGCCCTTTGTACCATCTTTGCATTTCTGGATTTCTTGATGGAAAAACTGTGCAAGCTGCAAAAACATGTCCGGATGGCGCAATCGGTTGGGTGCCCGTCTATCAGTCGGGTGGTCACTGGTTCGAGTCCGTTGGAGATCCTGAGTTAAAGGGCCATGACCCGTAGTGTTTGGGGTTCACTACTTAATACGTCCCCCGCAATCTCCATCGGCTAGACAAGGATAAGGGCATCCTGGATGGAGTCGCTTTCATCGCAGTTAAACTGCACAAATTTTTTGAGAATGCTCAAAAATGCTGGCATATTTATTCGCAGAAGCTGTCTTAATTGCTGAATCGCCTCATTCGCTTCTCAGTCGTAGCGATTACCTTAGCCTTAACGAAATCGCAACCACAATCGCTGCCAAATCGTTGCGATTCCTTTGCGATACACCGCTCTACAGTGGATCTATTATACAATGACTCAGCTAATCCCATTTTCATGCCGCTCTATGTACATACCCGTTGCTCCTCATGGGTATCAGATTAGACATCGCTCCAGCACGACATCGCGGAACACGCAATTGTTTCCCACATCTCATCCGTGTCCGGGAAATACAGCCAGCACAATTTTCATTGAGAGTGACACTCGATGTAAGTCAGTGTTCTAGAGGCTTCGATCAACGATGGGTTAGTGCAGGACTGGCACCAAAGTACTGCTCATCTCGACATGGAAGCCATTTTCTTTGACAGAGCACTTCATAATGAAGTGTCGAAAAGTGTTTCGCATACCAGGTGTAACATTACATGAGAAGTTTCGAGCAGAATGCACGAATTACTGCCGGTTAACCTGAAGCTTTCACACTTGCTCGATGTGAGGTTGCACACAAGCTGTAACAAACATTCTAAGCCTACAGAGAATTCGTTCTAATCTCCTTCCCGAAATGCCCGAAAACGAGGCAGACAGACAGCTCCGCTTATTATTAGATTCATGCTGAACTGGCCGATTACCGTCGCTAACTCGCACCGACCCACCGATTGCGGTGATTTCATTTGCAAGGTTTCGCCAATCAGCCAGGAGATCCCAGCCCACACGTGAGCGGAAGGGCTTCGGCTCGCGCTCCCCTCCCGAGCTTTCCGCCACCTTATTTACATGTAGTTCATTACAGCGGCTCATTTGTTAAGCGTTTTGCGCACTAATCATCAGCGTCTCGCCAACATTCCCGTCATTAAGCGACATTTGCAAGTCAGCCATAAAAAGAGACTTCCCATGCAACTGCTCAAAACAAGAGGAAATGTTCATTCCGAGAAGAAAACGCTCTTTGCAAAACCAGGAACTTCTGCGAAAAGTTTTGTCCACAGTTTTTTGCTCGCCATCCTATCCTTTACAGAAAAAGTGATCTCCACAACTTTGTCTACTAGTTCAACGCAGTTAAACTGATTTATTGGGGCTTTGAAGTGGTTTTGAATCTCCTGTTCATGGGACCTTACTCGGATATCTAATATACTCACATATCAGAGCTTACGAGTCAGAATTCTGGATTTCATGCAGTGCCTTCTTCCATACTCGCATAGGGTTAAAGGAAAAGGAAGTGAAATGTGAACCACGCAAACCAACGGTGGTTTGCGTGACTGGTCATCCTAAAGACTCCTTAGTGTAGGAGATACGTGAAGGCATAGAACTTGGTTTGATAACCTGGTTTCACTTGGCTTTGCATTCATAGATCCTAGCATAGGATCAGGGTAAAGCACGGGGTGCAATTTGGAGCTCCCAAACACGTACCCCCCCCCCTTTTTTTTGCTCTCACCTGCCCGTAAACCACGCCCATGATTTCACCATTCTTGGTGGTACACAGTCCTTGCATTGTAATCAACAATCGAACAGCTTTCATAATGTAATCAACAGATAAACAGCTTTATATTTTTATCAGTATCCAGCCTTTCTTAATCGTAATACAAATTCCAGACATCATAGACAAACCCGTCGATTTTAATGAAACATGCCTAACATGTTTCGTCATGTTGGACATAATAAACATAACACAAAAAGGAGGGATCAGAATGCCAGAAAACTAAACTTGTTTGAACAGACTTAGACATGCTTTAAAATGTTTTTACGTAAACATTCGTGTTGTCACTCTCTGCTCCCTCTTCGCTCTGAACGCCTTATGCGCATCTCTCTACTACTAAATACTGTAGAGTCCACCATAGGGCAGGTGCAACAGGGTAAGGGTCCGATACACGCACCTTCTCCGCACCTGCCCTGTGGTGGAAGCTACAGTAATCTCTTCCGCAATGGGGCACGGAGTCGCATAGGAGCTCCACAGGAGGTTTCAGCCACACTTCTGTGCAATTCTTTTTTTTTTTTTGCAATTTTAAACCGATTTGTTGTGCGCGCCTTGCACAAATGCAGAAAAATTTGGAAAATACAATGTGATTTTTTCTCCTGTGTCAAGCAATTACATACTACTTTTACCAATTACTACGTCTGTCACTTATTATTATTACTCAGTGTTGTTGTACCGATTTACTGTGATGGGAAATTTTTGAAAAAAAGAGCAGAGA